GATTGGCTGGGTCACGTGGGCGGAGCCAAAAAAGTCCCCCAGTGAGCAGCTCCGTGGTCTGAAAGGGCGGGGAAACAGCCCAATGAGCATCACTGCAGAGGAGCCAATCAGTTGGCAGCTAGAAGTTTGCTGGGGCCGCTGTGAGCCAATCATCAGCTGGCAGCTGGAAGTTTGCTGGCAGCTGGAAGTTTGCTGGGGCCCCTTCGGCTGTGGCTCTCAACAAGAAAGCTCTTTCCCTTTCTATGGACTTGGACTTCAATGGATATAGGTTAAGACGGCTGTGGCCATTATGACACAGTGAGGAAAATCTTTCAGATACAAGAGCCAGAACAGGAAGCAGTGAAAAGAGAGAACAACAACAACAGCCCCAAATCAGAAAACAAAAAACTATACCTGATTTCATTATTTGAGACCCTACATCCAATCATACCTAATTACAAAAAATAATCTTGAACTTTACAGTTGAGTCAATAAATTCTCCTTTGAGTCAACCAGTTCATAATCCTGTGGTTGTCATTTGCACAACAAAAAGGGCAATAATTTATATATCATCAAAATTTTCAATGGCCAGTATTTGGCAGAATGAATTATTTCTTTCTTCTATTATGTACTCTTTATCTGCCTTTACTCATATTTTAAATGATCCTTTCTTTAAACCCCTCTAGTGCTTTATATATAGCATTAAATGGTAGAATTTCGGGGTTAGAGTGGATAAAGGGTAAGGAAATTAATATGTACTGATATTCTCTGGAAAGGCACACTGCATATACATAAATGCTTGTTAAAAGTTCAGACACACGAAATTATGTTTAGAATTCCACATTACTGATTGAAATGCTTTTTTCTAACTTTTTTAAATTGTAGATGGACACAATACATTTATTTTATTTATTTATATGTGGTGCTGAGGATTGAACCCAAGGCCTCACACATGCCAGGTAAGTGCTCTACCACTGAGCCACAGCCACAGCCCAATTAAGATGCTTTTAAAAGAGATGTCATAGGAAGGAAAAATAGTTTTAAGTTTGGAACTGCATATTTTTGTTCCCATTCTGAATGTAAAAATTGAATATTAATGAGAAAATAAATGAAGGATTTTGCCACCGAATGCCTCTTACTCTAGCTAAGAAAAAAAAGTAGAAAAAAATAGGAGAAATGTATTACTGCATTTTTATACTCACACACTTTCTGGAAAGCAATTAAATTTCCTTGCCACCTCAGTTTTTAGAAAGCAAAAGGTTAGAAAACACAATAAAATTGAACATAATTTCCAAAAAGTACTGGAAGTCATTGGACTGTGAGATATTTGAAATCATATCAAGAAGCAGGATTTATAGCCCTATGAGTTATGGAAAAGGAAATTGAATTGTGTTTTATTTTTAAAACACAACCACTAAAAAGATGTTTCCATAGTAACAAGGTCAATACCAGTGGCCATTACAGACCTTCCTCTTTTCTGATAGCGGGTTTAAAGATCTTTTTCAAATACCACTTTAAAGGCCCTATGAAAAAACTACAGCTTTTCTGATCATTCATCTGAACCAAAAATGAAGAAATCACACATGGTGTATTGAATTTCTCATGTTTTATGGATTATAAGCATTCATAGCTGCCATATTTTCAGAAAGATTCTTGCTTGACTAGCCAACCCCTGAACATGGGATTTAATTAGCCTGATCTTAAATAGGGACAAACAGAAGTTGTTTGCAGTAGTATTCAAACAGAAATAAAAGGTGGCACAATATTTAAAAACATACTCTTTTAATATCTAAACGTTGAGAGAGTTAAGTAAATAGCCCCTGTTATTAGAAAATTTCAAAGGTTCAGATTAAATATGATATCACTGCTAGAGGAAGATACCGTCCACATTTTGTTTATACTGCTGAATTTAAATAGCTCTTAGTACACAAAATCAATTTATTTAACACCACCAGGACGTGGACTCTGCTACCTGTTTTCTCTGTATCAAGTCACACTATTCATCTGATAGTCATTGTATAGCTTTATCATCTTCACTAAATGTGAGCCCTTGAGAGCAGATATATTTTACTTTGTGTTCATGATAGTACCTCACATTTCACTTATGTATAAAAATACTGAGAAATAGTGGTGAATGAATTGTAAAAAATAATCATACAACAGCAACTAAGAAAACACAAAATCTCTGCTTTAATTTTAGAAATGATGTGTCAGTTGATATACTCATGATTGTAATCTCTTTAAACCAAGAGCTTTTAATTCCTGTAAGCTGAGATCCTTGTTCACAGAATCTTCAACTGTTAAGTAATGAATTCAATTGCCTGTCCCTTGGGTCAGTTCGTCAGAATTTCTGCAGGTGGGGCCTGGAAACAACAGATTTTAAAGCTATTCAGGGGATTCTAATACGAAGCCAGAGGTGGAAATCACTGATTTACACTCTGCTTCTGGGGCACAATTAAGGATTAATTTCTTTACTCCCTAATTTAGCTACTTCCCCCCCCCCTTTAATTTTGCCTCAAAGTATTATGTATATCAAATATAGGGCTGGGCCTCAGTGGTAAGAGTGCTCACCTAGCATGTGTGAGCCCCTGGCTTCAATTCCCAGTACCAGAAGAAAAAAAAATCTAAATATATGTCTTCTTGTTGTAATATGATTTGTTCCTTAGAATAATTTTTAACAATAAAATGTTTCAGTTACAATGGTTTGGTTTCATATAATTAAAATTTTAGCCAAATTATTATTTATTATATTCTGTTGAATGCTTTTTGTTGCTATAAATTTAGAGTTTGAAAAGCAGAGTTGAATACTGAACCAATATAATAGATACTAAATAAATATCAGTAGAATTGAATATATGCTTTTGAACTCTTATAGCTCTTATAGATTCCTTTCTTGGGCCTGTAATGCCTTTTACCCCCTTATCTATCTAGAAAAATTCCATTTTATCTTTCAAAATTCCCAGATCATATTTTCTTCCTCCCGGAATCTCACCTGATCTCTTAAACACTCTCTCGGTGTTTCCTCTGCCCCTTTCATGGTTCTACTTGGTTACTTATCACGTATTTATTTATTTATTTATTTTTCTTTTTTTGCTTGTTTGTAAAATAAATCCCTTCTCCATAATTGACTGTGAACAGCTTGCATCAGGTACTGATTTATGCCTTTCTACTCTTTTTCTCTCAGAGAATGTTACAGTAACTGGAAACAACAGACACTCAATAGCACTTCACAATCTCTACTGTTAGAGACTGACTTGAATTCCCTCCAAATTCATGTCAAAGCTCTGACTCTGAGTGTGATGAAATTTGGAAAAGAGTACTTTGGAGGCAGTCAGGGTTAGATGTGGCCATGAAAGCTGGCCTTCATGATGGCATTAACCTCCTAGTTAGCAGAGGCCACAGTGAACTTGTTCTTTCTCTTTGCTGTGTGAGAACAGAGAAGAGGAGGAAGACCCTCACCAGAATCCAAACTCACTGGATCTGATCTCTGACTTCTGCCCTCTGTTTAAGGAACTCATTCTATGGTGTTTTGTGATGGTCTGACCTAACTAACACGACTATGAATCAGGATTAAGTAATTTGAAGAGAAAATTAATATCAACATGACTGAGAGTTATACTTTCTTTAAGTTTTCTAGAAGATAAGCATTTTATTTTGTAAATCAAAGGCCATATTAAATATAATTGGACTATATTTAATACTTTCTTCCAAATAAACTTGAGATTTAGTGTTGTTGTTTTTACATTTTTCTGGTATACTAAGAATTTTTTCATAAATACATACAGTTGAAATGAAGTAATTTTGCAGAGCAACAATCAGTCTAATTACCTTGTGGCCTGCATTATCAATTAGAGCTAGTCACCAGGTATTCTTTTCATTTTTTGTCATAGATACCACTCATTGAAGACTCAGTGCCCCTTGCACTGCTTCAGACATTATGTCTTAAATTTGTTTTACTTTGCCTGGTTTGGTGCAGACAGAATATTTAAGGTGTCATGAAAACTCCCTAATGTATTATTTATTCATTCAATAAATATTTATTATGCATTGTAGAAATCCAACTCTGTTTAAAGACTACTTTAGTTGGTTTCATTCCAGCAAATTCTTGGGACTATAAATGTAAGTTACGTGGCCCTTACCTAGTGAACCTGTTCTATAAGTAAAGCATAAAAACTGTAGCTTAGGTTAGCAGTCACACACTTGAATTTCATGGATGAATAACATTTTTAACATTTGGGGAACTAATAGCAGTGTGCCAATATTTTACTTGACCAAATAATAACATTTAAAACAAATACCACTGCCAACTATCACCATTAGTTAACAAATGATGGAGCATTTATTTTTATTTTTATTTTCTAGTACTAGGGATTGAACCCAGGGGTGCTTAACCACTGAGCCACACCCCCATCCCTTTTTATTTTGAGACAGTCTCACTAAGTTACTTAGAGCCTTGCTAAGTGGCTGAGGCTGGCCTCAAACCTGTACTCCTCCTGCTGCAGCCATCCAAGTCACTGGGATTACAGATGTGTGCTGCCATGCCTCGCTGATGGAGCATTTTAACACAAAATAATTAAAGAACATAACCTTAGAAGAGAATAAAAGGCAGTCTTGAAAGTGACTACATTTAACTTAATAGGGTAAAACACTATATTCTTTATTCTCATTTTGGCTTAGACTGCCAAAACTTTGTTAAAAATAAATCCATATCTACTTTGTTCCCGTTTTCCATCATTCAAAACCCCTTTCTTATTCAAATTCTTAGGACTGGTCACTAAAATCTTCAGTAAATTTGTTTTAATCCCTTCAGTCTTGTAGGGTTCAACTGAATAATGCATGTTTACTTGCCTATACTTATTTTCTGTTAGTTTTTCAAACACTAAAGATAAATGGTGTTTTTGATTAAATTTATTTCTATATTTTCTTCATGTTTCTGATTATATTTCTGCATTGATAATATATCATTTAAACATCTATGTAAAGGCTATAAATCAAAGACTAACAAATGTAACAAGACTTACATGTGTGGACCCAATGAAATTGCCCTTGTCATTACAATTCCAAGAATTACAACTGTTAAAATTGTAGAAATAAAGGAGATCTGCAAAGAAAAATGTAAAGATTGTTAGTATAGCATACAGATTATTTATTTTTAAAATATTGCATCTTTTTCCTTTTTACTTGGGTAAACTAATGCACAGTTTCTTTTTTTTAAGTCTAATTCTTTAGTCATATTCTTATATGCTAGTGTTGTTAACCTGAGGCATGTAACTTCTTATCAAATCACAGTTTGGTCCCACACCTCCAAATAGATATTCAAGTACTAAATATGACTATTATTATAATTTTGCAACATGTCTTTAAACATTTTCAGTGGCTTTCCGCATAAAATATAAAATTGTACTTTTTTTTTCTTCTGTTTCTGGGTCTGTTCTGCTCCTTCGTTTTTGTCACTATTTTAACTGATTAAAATATCAACTGTTCTGTATGTATTTCTGTTTATTGAAACAAAACTGTAGATGTCTTAATAGGAGGTATTTGGTTTAAGGCTATATATTGTTTGCAATGGGTGTTGTTATTATTTGTCTTTCCCTTAAAGGACAGGTACTGGAGACCTTTAGGGACCCTATGGGTTTACAGGATAGAAACTCTATTGCCTCAAATCCACACTGCTAGATGGATAGACACACAAACAACATGAAAAAAAACAAGAGAACAAACTTCCCTACACAAACCAAGATGCTCCAATAATAGAATCCATTGACACTGCAGTAAAAGAAATGTCAGAGGTGTTTAGAATGTACATAGTTAAACTGATCTGCAATGTAAAGGATGATATAAGGAGTGAAATCAGAGATAAGATTAGGAGATGAAAGATCACTACAATAAAGAGATTCTAAAAAGAAATCAAGCATAAATCCTCAAAATGAAGGGGCAATAAACATCATTGGAGAAAAGATAGCCTATCCAAGAAATAGTGCTGGGAAAATTGGAAATCCACATGTAACAAAATGAAATTAAATCCCTATCTCTCACCCTGAACAAAACTCAACTCAAAGTAGATCAAAGACTTAGAACAGAGACCCTATGCCTAATAGAAGAAAAAATAGGCTCAAATCTTCATCGTGTCAGTTTAGGAACTGACTTCCTTAACAAGACTCCTAAAGAGTAAGAAGTAAAATCAAGAATCAATAAATGGGATGGATTCAAACTAAGAAGCTTCTTTTCAGCAAAAGAAACAATCAAGATCATGAAGAAAGAGCCTGCAGAATGGGAGAAAATCTTTACCACCTGCACCTCAGATAGAGCATTAATCTCCAGGATATATAAAGAACTCAAAAAACTTAACACCCTCCCCCCCCACAAAAAAAATAACCCAATCAATAAATGGGATAAGGAACTGAACAAACACTTCACAAAAGAAGAAATGCAATTGATCAACAAACATATGAAAAATTGTTCAATATCTCTAGCAATTAGAGGAGCGCAAATCAAAACTACTCTAAGATTTCATCTCACTCCAGGCAGAATGGCAATTATCAAGAATACAAGCAAGAAACAATAAGTGTTGGCAAGGATGTCGGGGGGAAAGGTATACTCACACAAATTGGTGCAACCATTATGGAAGGCAGTATAAAGATTCCTCAGAAAACTTGAAATGAAATCACAATTTGACCCAGCTATTCCACTCCTTGATTTATACTCAAAGGACTTAAAATCAGCATAGTACAGTGACATAGCCATGTCAATGTTTATAGCAGCTCAACTCACAATAACTGAACTATGAAACCAATCTAGGTGTCCTTCAACAGATGAATGGGCAAGGAAAATGTGGTTTATATACACAATGAATTATTATATCAGCCTTAAAGAAGAATGAAATTGTGCCATTTACGGGTAAATAGATGGAACTGGAGAATGTCATGCTAAGTGAAATAAGCCAATCCCAAAGATCAAAGAGCCAAATGTTTTCTTTGATATGTGGATGTTAATATAAAACAAGGGGAAAGGGTAGGGAAGCATAGAGATACTTTGGATTAGACAGAGGAGAGTAAAGGGAAGGGAGGGGGCATAGGAATAGGAAGGATAGTAGAATGTATTGGACATTATTGTCCTATGTGCATATATGTTACATAACTGGTATAACTCTACACCATGTACAACCAGAAGAATATTCCATTTATGTATGATGTGTCAAAATGCATTCTACTGTCATGTCTAACTAATTTGTACAAATAAAAAATAACATATAGCTCACATATTGAAATAATATTTTGGATGTATTGGGATAAATAAAATATTAAAATTTTTAAAAGGAGGGAAATGTTCAAATATTAATAATAGAATAAATATCAGTAGCTTTATTTTCATGAGGACTTTGATTTCTGTTTTTGGATAATATTTCTGTCTACACTGAACATGTAAAATGAAAAACAGAAAATTCAGAAAATTCAGAAAATTCATACACACACACACACACACACACACACACAAATCCCATTTTGGTACTCTTATTTATTTCTGAATGACTGTTAAAGATGGAAGATATGTTGGAAAGAATATTTTTTTCTCTTATTGGTGCATTATAGTTGTATACAATGGTGGGATTCTTTGTTGAATATTTGTACATCCACACAATGTAACCAATATAACAACATAATTTGGCCAATATCATTCCCTTGCAGTTCCAGAATACTCTTGAATACTGTCTCTACCCTCCCTTTTAAGTGGAAAGAGAGAATTCATCACTGGGTATATAATAGCAAACCTCACTTTGAAAAGTAAAATTCAATCAATTGTTGGAATTGTCGAAATAGAATATAAAAGTATCATATAAATAGTCCTTTAAAATATTCTTCATCAGAATGCATGGAATCATGGAGACAGCACCAACGGTATTTTCGGCAAAATATAAGTATTCCTTGAGAGTGAGGGTATAAAATACAGTCAGAAAGTCTAGTTTAAGCAAATGAGCTTATGTGATGAGTAGAATAATTAGGTGCTTGGCTTCCCTAGAAAGAGTTCAGTATTTATCTTTAGCAATAAGAATAAAACATTGGCCAAATTCTCAACAAGTGATGAATCAACACATTGACATTTAAATTTACTGAATGGAAAAAGGCATAAAAGACATTATAATCTACAAATAAAAATATTTTGTGCCATTGAATGATTCATCCTTAGTACTAGGTTAATTTATTTTATTTTAAAATTTTAGCTAATACATGGAAACATAAAAGCTGTATGTATTAATGGGGTACAACACAATGTATAATATATCTATATATTGCATAATGTTTAAATCAGGTTAAACATAATTACCTCTTCAACCATTTCTCATTTCTTTGTGATGCTTAGTTTAGTTTTGAATTGTTTAAACATGGAACACTTTCCCAATAATGGAAACTTGCTTTAAATATAGTTCTTTATATTTCTAAATTTAATACCTGTTGTCTGATACCACTTAGGGTATCTATTTTGAAAAAGAAACAGGAAGAATATATTTAGTTTACATTCATCAACTACTTAGCCATTGGTTCCCCCAAACAAGCTAATGATTCAACCACGGTTTACTCTAGCATAATCACAAAAACACTATAAGAAACTAAAAAGAGTACTGTAATTCAGAACTTTGCCAACTAGATGCTAGATCAACAAAATGAATGTTGGTAACAAGGTTCATTTCTACATCAATTTAATATGTAAAACTTACCTTTCCAAGCTTTGCTATATCTCGGTACAAGGACAAAGGCAGAGTAAAGGTTACCGTGGAAAGCACAATAATGAAGTGACGACCAATAAATACATTCTCAGGGTCAACTAAAATACAACAAATAATATTTAGTGTTTGGAGATACAAGTAGCACATTGGTCACACAACTAAATAGGCAAGCAGTTAATTATAAAAAAAAATGACTGAAATAATATAAATTATCCCTAAATGAAAATGATTTTAAACATATGTAAAAATAGAAATAAATTACAAAAACAAAATAACTTATGGGTATACCTAGGCCTGAAATGAATTTATAAAATTTCATATTCATATTATTTTGGTAGTTCCCTAATCAGTTTCTCTGCTCTTCAAAGCAAATAGACTCATGGTCTCTGAATTATTCTTAATAACCATGATATGGTGAAAAGTTGAACAGGAAGTGGGATCCTGGTGTATGTTGTAAAGGTCTGCTTGAGAATACTGTAGCAACTTTTTTGTAACCATCTCACCCTGCAAATAATGATAATGTCCCTCTCTTGGGTGAAAGACACACTTGTCTTATGTATATCCATAAAATGGAAAGCCCCTACAGAGGCCAATTACTGATACAACTATAGATCTAGACAAATCTAAAACACACGTGCCAAGGAAAAGAAGCCAGTCTCAAAAGATACATGTTGTATGATGCCATTTACATGGCATTCTGAAGAAAAGCCAGACAGGGAGAGAAACCAAGTCAGTGGTTGCCAGGGGCTGGAGATGAGGGCGCTTTTCACTAGAGGGAGTTGGGCAGAACTTTGGAGGGTGATGGAAAGGTTCTGTATTTTGTTGTAGCTGTGATTATATGACTATAAACATTTGTGAAAACTCACAGAATCTACCCTAAGAAAAGGATTAATTTTATTGCATTAAATTATAGTTTGATACAAATAATGGGGAAACTATTTTAGAAAAGATATAGTATAAATAGGATGTGAAAAATGTTACCACAGAGCTGTGATGTGAAACATAAGGAATTTAAAATGTAGACTATTCTAAGTATACGAAGAATAACAATATTTTTAATTGGCTAAATAAGAACTATGTATAAAAATAGATCAAAAATTAGAATCAACATTGGTCATGGGAACTGCAAGATATCTGAAGTAATCCAATCCTTCCACCTTCAAATATTTATTTATATATTATAATGAAACACATTAACTATATATAATCATATAAAATAAAGCAATTTAATTCTTCAGAAGTCTTATTTTCACTTACCTCCAGGAATTCTTTGAAAAACTTTGCTCAAAGTATCTCCAGCTATTATGTTATAACTTATCATAGCTAAAATATAATTAAAATAATAGTCATTAATAAACCACCACACATCTCATCTTGAATATTTTCAATGTAATCAGTTATTACTTTCCAAGAATTGACATAATCCTACCTTTTAAAATATATATTGTAATTACTAATATGAGCCACCATAAAAATAACTATTCAACAGATTTATGGTAGAATATCAATTTGCATTACAAAAAAATTTTCAATTTGCAAATAGATTTTCCTCAGAACACCTTTAAATAATGAGTTCTGGTAGTCATTTAAAATTTAAAATGCAATTTATCTTGGTATGAAAGTTCAGTTTCAAAACCTTTTTTCAGGAATACATGTACTGCTTAAAGTGAGGAATAATAATAGTAAATTTTGAAGGCACCAAAATATTCCTTCAATTGAAATTGTAAGACATTTGGAAGAAATACAATGTTGACCTTTTGTGGAAACATAAGCAGTTAGACATTTGGACAATAACTTTTGTGATAATGATTTAAAAAATGAAGTCTATTTGGGCATTGGTTTCTATTAACATTTTACCATTTAAGAAGTGCCAGGTAGGGGCTGAGGTTGTAGCTCAGTGGTACAGCACATGCCTGGCATGTGTGAGGCCCTGGGTTCGATCCCCAGCACCACATAAAAATAAATAAATAAATATAAAGGTATTGTGTCTATCTACAACCAAAAATAATTAAGAAAAAAAAAAGTAGTGCCTGGTAGGATTTTCACCATTGTCATAGAAATCTTAGATAGCATGTTTGTCTAGTACATCGTTTTACAAATGCTTATGGTTTCACAACAAAGAAAAAAATATACTGAGCCTTAGAAGAAATTTGTTATGTCTCTCATTCATTTCACTTTTAATTACAAAACATTCTATAGTTTTGCCAAATAAGAAAAGCCCAACCTTAACTAGATGAAAAACACTCAGAGAATTGACCAAAAGGACCAGAAAATAAGGAGAAAATTAGTGAAGATGTAAACATTTAATTTGGAAAATATTTCAACTGCTAATTTTCTTTAATGATTCTTAAATGACTATTAAAATGTTTTTATCCAGAAGTAACTATTTAATACAAATCATTGTAGTATTCATCTTCATAATCATCTTACCTATAAACGGATATAAAAACTGTAGAACAGAGAGGAGGAGATACCCCGGAAAACCAAAGGTTTTGTTAACCAAAGACTGGTAGCTGTCTGTTCCAGAAAGGGCCCCTCCTTTTATCAACAAAATAAGGGAAAAGTCTGTGGCAAAAAAAAAATAACAATTAAACAAATGTCAAAATACATTTGATAAAATAGGTTTTTTTTACTTATCACAGAGATAAAGGGAATTTTTTTTAAAAAAAAGTTTAATGGTACAGCATTATCATGACTATATATAATATTATATATATATAATTACCTTTCATGAACTGTCATGTTTTTAGTGACATATTTTTTAATCAGGCTGCATATGCACTTAACATATCCAGACAGTGAACTGGATAGAAGAGGGATACAGACTGGAGTCAATGTGTCAGGATTCCATTTTACTTTTCCAACCAACAATGTAACCACTGTTACCAGAATGTGACAACTCTTCAAGCAACAGAACACAGGGACTTAAGAGTTTCATACATAGTCAATGTGTAAATATTGAGAATGGACGTGCTGTCGACATTTTAGAAAATAAATTTTAGGAGATTCAGAGTATTTGTTGTATAACAAAGTAACTTAATTTTTTATATATCGTGGTTAAGAATATTTTAAAAATTCACATTTTAGGAATTCCAGTTCCAATTTTAGAATCAAAGTTAAAAATAGAAATTACATTTAAAACTTACTTTCTCTATTTAACTTGATTGATTGATTTTATTTTATTTTTACTTTTTTACTGAAGGACACTATAGCTTTATTGAGTACAAAGACATGTACAAGGTGTGGTACTGATTCTTTATTTTTTATTTTTTTTTTGAGTCACTGGAGATTGAAACCAGGGTTACTACATCACCAGTCTTTCTTGTTTTTTTTTTTTGTTGTTGTTTGTTTGTTTGTTTGTTTTGTGTGGGTTCTCATCTTGCTAAATTATCCAGGTGGTCCTTGAACATGCTATCCTTCTGCTTCTATTTCCTTAATAGCTGGGATTGCATGCATGGACCACCAGCATGGCCCCTGGCCTGGCACTCTTTTAATCTGTCTCTCTTATATTTCCATCATGGCAATTTCTTTTTATCTTCTAAGTAATTTGGAAAAGTATTAGAATACAAACTAGAAAATACAAATCACTGTGGTATGGTTTCCACCTTGATTTTCTCCCCATAATTGAAGCTTCTTTCCACAAGATCAACAGTTTCCAAGTTGATGAATATAATTTCTTTTCTCCTCCCCCAATCTACAATACCACTTGCTCTTTCTGACTTTTTCCCCTTTCTAGTTTTCACTTCCCTTTAACTCATCCATCTTGCCTCAGTCTTTGTGACAGCACTTTCTCCTGGTTGTCCTCCTACCATTCTGGCATTTATACTGGTTTTCAACAGTTTTTTGACTCTGCTTCAAACCCTGTATCCCTGGGATTTTTGCTCATTCTTCAAGATGTCTTCCTGTGACCTTATCACATCCCTGGTTTCAATTTTCATGCACATGTTAGTAACACCTAAATTTGTGTTTCCAGTTCAGACCTTTCAAAACTCCACACTTCTATATATAGCTGCCTAATACAAGTCTTACCTTCAAGATGTTATAGGCATCTCAATATTAAAAAGTCCAAATGCTAATCTGTGCATTTGTTCTGGAACTTGATTCCTCAACCATGCTTCTCCAATTGGTGAAAAATATCAACAGAAACTTGAGACTCCTCCTAAACTCTTCAGTATTCATTACTTGCTATATAACTTTGGTCCCCAAATCCAGTAACTGTTGTATCATAAATATTGACTAATATCTCCTCATTGTTAACCTCTAACCTCCTTTATTATAGAGCTTTGGCCTTACAATTTCTTTCCTGGATTGCTGCAATGACCTCTTTACAGTTCTCCCATTCACCAAACTTGTCCCCAGTAAAATTTTGACAACCCCCCTCCCCCAAATGAATCTAACCATAGTTTAAATCTAATCAGTCTTCTACTTTAAACTCTCCAGGGATATCCACTAGTGCTTTGAATAAAAATAAAATTCTTTCATAGGCAGAAAAACCATATGTATTTATCTGTGCAGCCCTTCTTGAGTCTTTGTAAAGCAAAGCAATATGCCCATCTTGAAGAATGATATAAGGATCATGGAGTTTAAATGTCTACCACAATGTCTGATATGTTAGAGAAGTGTTTTAGTTATTGTTTTTGCTGCTGTGACTAAAGGACCCAACCAAAATAACTGTAAAGAAGCAAAGACTTATTTAGGGGCTCATAGTTTGAGAGGTCTCAGTCCATAGACAGCCATATACATTCCTTGGGGCTCAAGGTGAGCCTGAATATCATGGTGGAAGAGTATGGCAGAGAAAGCAGTTCACATGATGATCGGAAAGCAGAGAGAGAGGTCTCCACTTGTCAGATGCAAATGTATAGCCCAAAGCTACACCCCAATTCCAACCTTCTCCAGCCACACCCTACTACTTCAGTTACCACTCAGTTAATTTCTATCAGGGGATTAATTCACTGGGTGAAGGCTCTCACAACCCAATCATTTCTCCTCTGAATATTCTTACATTGTCTCAACTGTGGACTTTTGAGGGACATCTCACATTCAAGCCACAACAAGAGGCTAACTAAATTAATGAAAAGTTGTGCTATTTTTACTTATTTTTAACAGGTTGCATATGGTGGTTGAAAAAAAATCATTGTGGGGGTTGAATATTAATGATAACAACTACAAAATAGTAGCCAATACTTTTAGAATGCTTTTCTGTAAGCCAGTCCTCTTCCCAAAGATTTGCATATTAACTCATTTAATCCTCACAATCATGCTAAATTGGTATTATTATTATTACAATTTGATAAATGAAAAAAGTGAGGCTTAGAAGTTTAGGTAAATTGCTGATTTCCCCATTGCTAGAAATGGAGGACTCAGGACTCAGGACGTGGTAGACTGGAACCAGAATCCATGCACTTAAATTAATATCCCAACTCTGTCACAAGTAACTGCAGACCTTGCATAAACCATTGGAATCTAGTGAAGTCACAATTTCTTCCTTCATAAAAGTAAGACATGAATACCTACCGCATGGAGACAGAAGGATTTAATATTGTGGTTTTATTATGTTCATCATAAAGCCAGTCCTCAGGAAATGGTAATGACTATCTTTATATGAGAGCAACCTCTCCAACTTCCTCTCTCCACTTAGGAACATCAACCCTACACTTTAGCCATACTGAATCACATTTCTATCTGCTTAGAATACCCATCCATTTTCTTTACTAACTTACATTTTTCTATAAACACTCAGTGGACATCTCCTCCTTCCCAGAATATGCTTATTCTATTGAGGCTATGTTAATCACCATGTATTTTCATGATGTGTTATAATTATGTGTTTTCTGTCTGTCTAATACATTACAACGTGAGCTCTTATAACAGCATGGATATTGTTCATCACTGCTCTACTGGGTGCAGTATCAATGCCCAGCACATTGGTGATCTGTATATGTCCGATAAAATTAACTAATCCAATATACTAGGGTTGCTAATTGTTTATCTATTTGATTCTCATTTAATGTGATAAATGACCTAGTAATGAGACTTTAAACTATCATTCAAGCCTAAAGCATATCGCAATTAATTCTATTTCCTTTACTGAAAACCAGGAATGACTTCACTGAAGAGTTAAATAATGCCTTGCAGGACAAAAGATAGGATTTTTCCAGGTAGAGAATAAAAGGAATGTCAGGCAGGAGGACTAGCATCAGGAAGGCAGTGTAAAAGCATATTTTTACATGTGGGGAATGAGATCGTCCAGAATTGCTAAAAGAGAAGGTCTGAATGTGACAGTATTAGTGACAGGTCATTAAGTAATTAGAAATGAGAGTAAAAATACAGTGACCAAATCATAAAGGAATCTAATTACAATGATTTTTTGTTTTTGTTATTATTACAGAGTTGTGGAGAGTTTAAAATGGTGCAGTAGCCGATATGAGGCTGTTTTAGAAAGATAACTCTTAAGCAATAAGCAGGACCCATCAGAAAGTAGACAGACACTAGAAGCACAAAATACTGAATATCTACTTATTGGCCAAGGAAGAGAACCAATGAGGGTTTCAGTCACTGAGAGGAGGCAAGGTTCTGGGAAAAAACTGTATGTTTGAGATGAGAACGTTGAGAGTTTTTATAAAAGTTCAAAATGTATTGCTTAAAGTTAACAATTTTTAAGAATTAAGTCCACAGAATATAAATGCTTTTGTCTGCTTATAAAATACAGGCTATAAATATATTCCCTTAAAAGTTTAAGGTATTTCAAGTATCAATCACTATAATATTTTGATCCCCCTTTAAATACATTATAGGCACATTTAAAAATAAGCCATGAATGAATTAAAGTTGTTTAACAGGCAAATTTTCTTTTAAACCATTATGTATATATTCTAAGTGTAGATTTTGCTTTCAAAGCCCAAGAAACAAAGTGAATCATAACCTATTAATTATTTGGCTTTTGTGTAATAATCCTTTATAAAAAATTATTCAAGTATTTGAATCATGCAAGTACATGAATAAGTTGGTAATTTCCATGAGCTTCATAATATGTGACTTTGCAAAGGACAACTCATAGTCATTGTCATGGGTTTATATGTATCATTATTTGAAAGTCACTTACATTATCATTTATTCATGTATCATATGATCCGATTTTAGTAAACTGTTCACTCTCCTTAAGTCCTGAATTCTCAGGTGATATATATTGCTTGGTTTTCTATCTACTGGTTGACAGTGTGTGTAAATGTTTATAGTGCACTTAAGTTATTGTATGCCTGGGGGGAAATTGTTTGTCAGTGCTGATTGACTGGGAAACAGGAAATTTAAAAAAAAATCTCTTGAATGAGTTTTTCTAGTGTGATACGTGCTTTAATAAATGCAATCCAAATTTTAAATGCCAGCAAATCTTAATGAGCACAAAATTGTGGGTCCCCTGCCACCAGGTAATGAGTTTTAAGCTACAAACTAAGAGTTGTAGAATTGGAAGCAGTTTAGGTCTTGGGGGTGGGTAGTGGGGAGAAGATGGTAGGGAGGAAAGTGGTCCAATAACTCAGCATCTTTGAATTTGCTATCTATTACATGCTTTACTGCCTCTCAGTTCAAGGAAAAATAGCAGTATTAGGGGCTGGCCTTGGGAGTCTGAGATTTTATAAAGGATGGAATCTTGGTTAGGGCTTCCAGATGCAAAGCTGAGACAGTGGTTTTGGGTCAAGAGCTCCAGGAGGATTGGAGTAGAAGGACAAGATAGAGAAGACAAATCTGCAAGGATGTGTCCCTGGTTGAGACCAGCGCACCCCAGCCCTGTGGTTGTAGAACTATGGAGCTCCTACCATGTCACATATTGGACCTCGTGGAGGTAAAAGGGGAGGCAGAGGCTGGCTTTTGGATTTCTGTCAGCTCTGGGCTGATGGCTATAGGACAGTAGTAGTTGGGGGTGTGGTGGGAGTCATAATCTCACAGGAAGGTGAAACTCTTGAGTCCCAGGCCCACACTGCAGACAGGGTACAGTGAGTTTTTTGTACTAGCTAGTAGTAGGATACTTGGTCACCACTCAAAGTGGTCACCACAGTAGTGATTATTACAGGGGGTGTCTATTTAGAACAGCTGCCTTTTTCTCTCTGATCCTAAGGTGGAGGAAAGATGCTGTGTTTGTCAGAAGGTGAGCTGGTTGGATGACAGGCTGGGATAAAAACAACAGGAAGAGGAGATGATTATGAGTGATACAGCCTGCATTTAGATGGGGAGTGGCAAAACGGGGGCGTTAATGAACATGTTGCATGGAGAGGGAAGCAGAAGAGAAGGGATTTAGAAGCACCTTATTGCTGCATTTAAAGGCAGTGGCAAGCACTGAGCAGGGGTTGGGTGGAGGGGCAGTGGAGGTGGGGAACCCTGCTGGTTGAGCTCTGGGCTTCCAGGTGGACCTGCACAAACACAGCTGATGGGGCTCTCATTCACAGGCACCTGCCCTCAAGTTTGGCTGCCTGAACTTTGAGAGCATCATCTTTTCTTAGCCTTAATCAACCTTTGAAATGACTTTCCCATCTATTGCTTTCTGGATGAAGTGACAGAGGCACATGAATAGGATTTAGGCTTGGTAATATATAATGTTCTTCTACTTCTTCTAATCTGTTTAAAGGATTAGGATGAAAAGTAAATCCCCTCAGACATAATGCTTAAATTCTTTAGGATCCTTTGATATGCTTCTTAATTAATAAGGAAATTCAATTGCAGAGTATTATTTTGTGTGTAAAGGAATCATTGCACAATTTAAGTTGCAGCAATAGGCAATTATATAGCATTTTTACCTGTAATATATGAAACCCAGAATAAAAGCAATATTCCCAAAGGAAACCCAGCTTGCTTCATTGAATAAGGTAATCCTGGAAAAACACAAACACCCCAACCCTCACATTAATAAGACATGTAGAAATACAGAAATTTCCCTAATTCCTGTATATAATGTTAAGTTAAATTTATATATTTATGACATAGTTGTAAGCAATATACAGTCCTAAAATTGAATGGTAGCGTATTAATACTTATTTCAGAAAAAATACTTTTAAGTTAGGGACATGTCAAGAGAGCAAATTTATGAGGTGATGAAATAAGAATTAAAAAAACAGAAAATGAAAAATAGATGCCAGTTCCCACAAATAATGTGGGTGAGGTTGACATATTCCTGGAATATAATGGGTAGTAATGGCCCCAAACCCTTTCTTATATGGACAATAAGGAACAAAGCAGGATTATAGGATATTAAGAAAGACTCACCCTGGAATCAAAATATATAGGTAAAAGGGAAGAAAATGTGAATGCAGAAGTGTTTTTTATGAAGTTAAAGGAGATATATAAAATTATGTCTCATTTTTTTGGAGAAAGTGAACTCTTTTAGATTATGAAAAATAAGATATTGAAAAGAAACATAATTTAAATGCTTATACCCAGATGTTTTATTTTCTGAAAAATATAATTTTAAAAGGCTGCTGAACATAATTAAGTAGTATTTTAAATGTTGCTGGCATAGGTTAACTTAAAGCATGCCCATCAGCAATTAACTCTAGAACTCTGCTACACAGAACTGCCATACCTCCATGGTACAAGGAGGTAGAATTTTACATAAGTTTTTGCCCCTACTTTCTTCTGCTTTATCTCAGATACCTCCAAATCATGTATCATTTTAAGTAAATGTCCATATATGGATGAAAGTAAAATAAAGAAGCATATCAACTTCAATTTGTGAAAAAGGAAGAAAAGTAACTCAAGATAACAGATAAGCATAAAATTTTCAGTAGATTAACCTATTAAACCTTTGTAGTAAAAAGTTGTATTCTCAATGAATAATGCAGTTTGCATTTGTTTTCTTTGCCTTTTCTGAAATGGAATGTTCTCAAACAATGAAAAGAATAATAAACACTGAAAATAATAACTGCTTTTGGTTACTTTAATATAATGCACTTTTTTTCAGAATTTTTTTCCTTGCCTCAAAAACATTGGGAAAATATGAACTGTTTCTTTATTTTAATTGATTATTTGGCTCCTCTGCTAAGAACAATGAACAAACTGTGTTATTGATTAAATTATATTTAAAATGAACACATCACAAGTTTGCACTTTAAAATCTAACATCATTTAGACAGATAAGGAAATATTGTATGGATTTAATTTTTCATGTTTTCACATTAAACTTTTCTACTTGTAATATTTAAAAAATAATATTTAAAAAAAGGTTTGAAGGTGATTTGAGTAATGGTTGACACTTCATGAATAAGAAAGAAGTGAATCAGACAATATAATCAATTGATCAGGCAGCCTATTAAAAAAGAAGAAAGAAAGAAAAAACCCAGGCTTGGTGGTATATGCCTATAATACTAGCAACTTCAGGGGCTAAGGCAGGAGGATTATAAGTTTGAGGCCAGTCTCAGCAATTTAGCAAGGTCTTAAAAAAAAAAAAAGAAGAAGAAAGAAAGAAAGGAAGGAAGGAAGGAAGGAAGGAAGGGAGGAAGAAAAGAACAAAGAAAAAAATTAAAAGGGCTGTGCTGTGCTGGGTATGTAGCTCAGTGGTAAAGAGGCCCTGGGTTCAACCCACAGTACCCACAGTACCCAAAACAAACAACGAAGTTCAGCCCTTTTGCTTGTGCAACTCCACCATGTATGTGGAGAATGCTATCACCTGTGGAAAGAGTGTGAATCTCAACTCCATCCTCAGGATAAAATAGTTGGAGGCATATTTTTACAATGCGGGATAAAAATAAAGGAAGATTTTTATGGAAGAAAATTACAAATTTTCTTAGTTAACACTTTCTCCTTTAAAAAACAATCAATGAATACTAGCAGTATATTGAGTCTTAGATTTGATCTTTTTAATTTGAAACCCCAAACCAAACCAAACAGAACACAGAACACTTACCTATTATACCAGATCCTATAATCGAGTTGACAACATTAAAAACAGCAGCAGACTGACAAGATTTCCTTGTATGCTCGTGTTCAGAAACAAGGGTTTCTCTGTCATCTAGATCTCTCTATTTTAATAGATTAAAATGGTGATTAAACAAATATTTACTAGCTTGAAAAATTGGAAAATATCAGACAAATATCCAATGCAAAATTCTACCATGATACTAGTAGTAATAAGTAATATGAAAAACTATAATAAACTAATTATGAGGACAATAACGTATAACGTTTAATAGTAATTCAACGGAGCTTTGCAAACAACTCCATCCTCAAGTGGCAGTTTGCAGCTGCCCCAGCTGGTCCTTGCAAATCCAGAGTACAAGTCTGTGGGGAGCCAGCAATGAGATTGTGTGAAATAAAGAGGTTATTGAAAAGTACTTTCCAAGGAAGAAAGTCAGATTAAGTCAGATTAAGGAGAATAGTTTTCTCCTGCAGAATTTTTCACTAAACTAAGACCCCAGATGAATGTAGCTGACCTGTTGCAGCATGAATGAAATCAGAAGAACTGGCTTCAGAGCTTGACCCATTTGCCAGTTTTACCTGCAGCGGGATGAGGGGCGGCTGTCCCTGGTACCCCATTGCGCGGTGATCCTGAGCAAGTGGAAGGTTCTGGGGCTGTGCAGTAGGCTCTCGCCTGCCCAGCCTCCCCCACCACCTTGCATACACAGGAGGTACCCGCGCACCGGGAGGGGCTGGAGGGAGCCGGTTCGCTGGCTGCCCAGACTGTCTTCACCCACTGCTGTGTTATAGACCTGAACTCTGGGTCCTCACAGTCCCGGGCGGTTTCCCAGGGGAGTTTGCCCAGCCACAAGCACTCTCCTCCTGATAACGGGATGCTGCAGAAGTTTCTGACCTGGGCAGCCCTCTCCCCACCCACTCTGCATCTCTCTCCTCCTCCCCTCCCACAGGGATGACTGAGAGCTACTCTTAACGAAGCTGCAGAATACAACTTGTTCCACTCATTGCCCTGCCCAGATTATACGGTTATGATCTGATGCCCAGGTAAGAGCACAGTGGCACCCCTGCTCCATGGAGCATCTTTCCTGGTAGCTCTTCCTTCTCTCTACACCTCTTCTAGGGCAGAGATGGCAAATGAAAATGTAGGACTTTAATGGTAAGTGGAAATGGAAAAAAGGACTCATTAGAAAATAAATAGGGGGGAAAAGCCAAAAAAGTTCCTAGAACTTTTAGCAAACTTGATTATTGTGCAAGTCTTGATCAAATGCTTCCTGGTAACTCTTCGGAAAAGGAGACTTAAAGAAAAGGAGGCTGGATTGTTACTGGATTCAGGTAAGAAAACCAAGAAAGGGAAAGAGGGCTATCTGGGGACTGAGAAGGGAACATACCCAGATGTCTGGGCTAGCTCTGTTCACCTCTTTGTATTACACATGATGAAACTGAGGCCCAGAGTATTCAACCACACAGAGGCAGATTGCGCAGAGCGGAGTTTCAGGGACAATGAGGGTGGTAATCATATACAAGTATTTATCAAAAAAAAAAGAGACTTTTTTCATACATATTTATTTAAAATCGTGAAAAATTAAAAACATGGAAAAACTAAAGAGACTTATAAATTACACAAACTCTCTACCATCAAATTAACAAATGTTAACATATTGTCAGGGTCATGAAAGAAACTGAGCCAGACTATCCAACCAAATTGCTCTCAAAATTTTGATCCACAAAAAATGTGGGTTAATAAATGTTTATTGTTTTTTGTAGACCACTAACAGTTGGGCTTATTTGTTACAAAGTTTTATATATATATATATATATATATATATATATATACACACACACACACACACACACACACAAAGTAATATATGTATATTTTTCATATACAAAGTAATATATGTATATGTATATATACACATATGTAACAACATGTACATACATATGTACAAACATATGATAGAAATACATGATATATAATATGTCTGATAGTAATATATATACACACATACATATTTAACAGTGATTCTATTCCTATGTTAATGATATTTCTTTAAAGAACCTTTCTTATAATTTCAAAAATATTGTTATGTAGTATAATTTCAAAAATATTGTTATGTAGTATAATTTCAAAAATATTGTTATGTAGTATAATTTCAAAAGTGCTATGTTCTCAATGAGTTATTTTCAAGAAGAAAGAAAAGGACCCAGAGAATCACTAACAATCCTCCCATGCAGAGGTAAACACAGCTAATGTGTTAGAACCCTACAGTTTACTCAGATTATAGAGTGGTTTTTTGAAGGGTAAGTGCATATTCACTTACAAAAACAAAAACAAAATCAGTTTTATTGAGTCTGCTTTAGTCCCAGAGGCCATGGAAACCAGACTTTCAGGAACAGGGAGAGACTTAATTTGAGCTTTTTATAGGATTGTACAATTATATAGAGATATAGTGATCCCACATTGAAATATTGCTTTTCCTCATTATTTGGTTGCAGTCCAGGCAAGTTGACGTCAAAGAACACCTTGCCTTCTTAGAAATAATCAAAGGCGATTGTATCTGGATAGCAATTTGAATTTAGAAAGTTCTTCCTGATGGGTATTCGGTTCAAGTAGGTTCAAGTAGGGATAAAACTAAAGGGAATAACTTTCAATATACAACTTTATAAGAGTTTATTTTCCCTTAATCTTGGAAAGGTGTCTGTAAGAGGAGCAATTTTGTATTGTTAAAAGAAAAAAAAAACAGATGCTTGATATTTTTCACAATATTGGAATATTGGCTTACTGTTACAAGTAGACTACTAGTATGCAGAGTTTCAAACAATATAAACCTTTCTCTTTCTTAACTTTATAGGGATAGGATTCTCAGTCTTTGGAGAGTCTGGATTTTTGCTTAGATACTTTCAGCTAAATAATGAAAATGTATCCTTTCTCTTCATGGATTAATCATTTTTCAAAGTCATTCTTGTAACTTTTCTGGGATTTTTATATTACAGTAAGTACTATTTTAGTCCTGTTGCACCATGTTGTTATTATTATCGAAATGTTCAAGTATTTTGATATATTTTTATTGTATTGTTGGAACCACTATAGTGATATTCCTGGTTAGGAGTCAGGATGAGGATGGGGCACTGAAGAATAAAAATTAGGGCAACTGTGAACCTTGCCTTGCCCAACCCGTTTTTAGACTTCTTGTTCCAGTGTAATTATAAATAGCATCTTTTTCATCCTCCAAAGTATCCTGGTTAGATGATACGTACATTAGTTGGCTTTTCGTTGTTGTAGCCAAAATATCTGACAAGAACAACTGAGAGGATGAAAATTTTATTTTGGTTCATGGGTTCAGAGGTTTAGTCCATGGTGAGCTAAATTTTTAATACCTTTATTTTATTTATTTATTTTTATGTGGTGCTGACGATGGAACCCAGTGCCTCGAACATACTAGGTGAGCCTTCTACTGCTGAGCCAAAACCCAGTCCTCATGTTGGGCTAATTTTATTGCTGTGGGCCCAAGATGAGGCAGAACATCTTGGGGGATGTGTACAGAGAGAAAGAGGGAAACAAGAAGGAGAAGGAGGAGGAGAATACAGTGAAAAAAGAGGGGGAGGAGAAAAGAGGAGGAGGAGGAGGAGGAGGAAGAGGAGGAGGAGGAAGGGGATGCAGGGAAGATGCACCCTACCAGGTTGCAAATCCAGTGATACCCCTCCTCTACTACACCCCACCAGGCCTCAGTAATCATCAGTCTGTCCTTTCAAACTAGGATGAACTGATTAGGTTACAGGTCTCACAATTCAATCATATCACCACTGAACATTTCTACATAAATAAACACAGGAGCTCTGGGGTGACACCTCATATCCAAACCATGACAATAGGCTACAATATTATGTTACAGAGGGACCAAGGTAATAATACTATTGCCTAAAATCTTCATAGTACTTCTCAGTTTTCTGATGTAATCTCCAAGCTAAGAAAGAATGATAGGTCTTTAAAAAAATGGACTTTTGGTTAATTCTTCAGCTAGTATACAGCAGATTAGAAGCTCAGGCTCTGGAAAAACCTTTGAGTCAAAAGTTTGCATCAAAGTTCAAGGAATTGTGGCCTGTTATTTAACTTTTTTAGTCTCAAATGTACTCCTTTCTAATAGGGGAAGACCAACGTACCTTTCTCTTGGTCATAGTTATGAGAATTAAATGAAATAACCAAATTTTATTAGTTTTCTATAGCACTAGCAATAAAGTACCATAAAGTTGGTGACATAAAACAACTAAAATATATTGTTTCATAGTTCTGGAGGCTGGAAGTCCCAAATCAAGGTAGCAGTGAGGCCACACTCCCTCCCAAACCTTAGGGTTGGACTCTTGTCTCTTCCTCGCTTCTGGTGGTCTGGGGGCAATTTGTCATGTCTTGGCTTGTGGATGTCCCACTGTAACTCCCCATCTTCACTTGACATCCTCCCTGCCTGCCTTCACACACTCCTCCCTGTGTATGTCTATGTCTGTGTCACAATTTCTCATTTCCATTAGGACACCAAACATATTGGGTTAGGGCCCACCCTAAGGACCTCATCTCTACTACACATGCAAAGACCCTGTTTCCAAACAAGGTCACATTGTGAAGTACTAGAGGTTAGGGCTTCAACATGTCTTTTTTGGGTGTTGGCACCATTCAACCCATAAAGCTATTTTAAAAGGATTTAGTTAATTGTTTGGCATATGATGAATTCTCCATATGTGATATCTGCTGCTACTTCTAAACAGAAAAACACTCTGTTAGGTCGGTATTGTTTAAGGCAGACAGCCTCTGATTTTTGTCTAGACTGTGGCTGCCTAAAAGAGAACTGAAATTCATATCCTCACTTGCAGCTGGTTGTTGTCATGTCACAAATTCTGACTAAGAGGATGCAGATGAAATGTATGTCTTTAAAGAGAAGGATAATAATACCTTGACTTCTCCTTTGTCATTCTTTCCTGATGAAATGCCCAGACACATGGCAGAAGGCGGAGTTTTATCCCAGAGCAGTCACCTGCTGGAAGCTTCATATTAAAAATGGCTAGATAATAAAATAAGGGACTGGGTCCCTGGTGGATATGCCAGATCTAGATTGTTCATGGGGATGTGAAAAGGAAATAAAATTCAATCTTGCTTAAACCATAGCTATTTTAGTTTTTTTCTTTTCTGTTTTTTTTTTTTTTGTGTGTGTGTATGTATGTTTTGTCCCTTATAGACAATTGTAACCTTTTTTAATATGCTTCTGGGTACCAAGTCTATTAGTCTAGTAGTAAAATAGGAGGAATTTAGTTAAAGAACTTTTTTTTAGGTGCTGCTCTATACAAATATGTAAGATAGGATGAATCCTAAAAAGTTCTTTAAATTCCTTTCAGAAGTAATAGAAGGGTTCCTGTGTTCCATCAACAACTAATCAAAACCTATATTAATAAATATATACATTTTATCAGTATATGCACAAAAATAAACTATGAATTGTTGCCTTACTAATTACCTGATAAAAAACCTTGGCTTACAGAGGTAGGGAAATACTCTGTCCGTTTGGTATGGATGCTCTTCTATGTGTCCTATGTTTGTACCCTTTGATTCTTACATTTCTGGTCAATATTGCTGT